TTTTGTGCCCGTTATTCGGAGGATAGCCAAACTGTTAAATACCAACCCAAAAAGCTACTTACCACTCTCGACTCAATTCTACTTTCAAAGAAGTCTGTGCTTTTGAAGTAGCTAAAATCAGATAAGAGCTCTCCATATTTGATTTGGTCTGCACGGCTTTCAAGGCGAAAAACTGGTGGAATAAAATCAGCCAGACGCAACAGTTCTGCAATGATGGCATTGCCACGAGAAACTAAACGTAATAGATTCTGTCCACATTGATTGTTTTCTGCTAAAAAGTCAGCCATCTAGTTTTATGTGGAAGAAAAACAAAGTATATGTGAACTGTGTTTTTTTTTTTTCAGTATAAATATTTAAACAGAAGAAATATTTCAGATGTGAAAATCATAATTTAACTTAACAATTAATCAACAAATTACGACTTTACTAACAAAAAGCTTAAGAAGAAAAAAACATTACATATTTATAACATTTGCATTTGTCAATGTAACATATGCATTACATAAGGGTTTTGAATGCAGTTTCATAAACCGATATACGGGAGTCTGAAGTCAAAGACAATTTTGTATTGATTTAACACTATGAGTATCATACCATTCAAAAAGCAATGGAAAACTCAGCGTGTACCCGGTCCTTAGCAGAGCACCATTCTCATAATGGCACACAGGAAAGCCATTCTGCCTTTTTCAAACTTTCTCGCCTCATGAACTTTTATGATAAGAGTGTCCTTCATATACTGTTCCCACCATCGTACTGGTCAATTTGTGTCTTTTCTACCAAGAATCATAACCCCCATTACCAACTGCAAATTACTTTTTTGGTTTGTTTGTTTTTTGTTAGTTGTGCATCCTCTTTGGAAGATGCAGAATCAACCCTAGCAGTCTGGTTATTTGTGATATTTCACTAGGCAATTTTCTGTTTTGTAGTTTACAACTGCTTCTAAATGGTCGGCTCTCACTACCACTACCACCGTCAAAACCAGTGCAAATATGGGACTAAGATTCACTGTCCCGTGTCCCATCCAAGTTGCCATCTATAGGTTTACCATACTGTCCTGAGGTTTAAAAATCTCAACATGGACAGCAGATCAACAAGGCAGATCTCAAATACACCGAACAACCTCAAAATAAATTATAATTATGGCATCCGTAACGGTTACGCCAGCCAGGTGTAAACTCATAAACTAATGTCCAATCAATACCGTAGGACCAGTCGTCAGCAGACTAAACTAAGCAGACCTGTCTCACAGAACCCTGCATAACCCGAGTATTATCAGCACTCTTCGCTCACTAGTTCAACAATTACAAACATAATTCTAGTACCTATTATAAGCACGGCACCCGCTATAATTTCAACCCTTAAATTTAATTTAAACTCCCGTATTTTAATCAACGTCCATATAAACTATAAACAAACTTGTGATAGTTCCAGTATCAGTATCAGGGATTCACATGATTTTGAAGAGTAAGTTCCCCTCCACGCCCCTTCCGGGGGTGGTGAGTGGCAGAGTAGTGGTTCCTGATGCCGGAACTGAGGCGCTTTTTACGTTCAAAAATCTGCCAGCCACATCGTGGTCTCTCAATATCGGTCGCTTCAGACAGGTATGGCTTGCTGATGCTGTAAGAAATGCTGATTTAGGACGGCTAGTGGTATTCCTGGTTGTTTTTACTGAGAGGGGGTTGTCAATCTTTGGTCTTGTTTCTGTTGAGATGTTCAAATTATTGTGTCTTGTCAGGCGTGGTAGAAACTCGATGGGGCAACCATTGTAATTGTTGTGGCTTCGACCTACTGATCCAAGTAACATTAACGGTTCGAAATTATATTATCATCCAGTATTCGTTGAATCAAATAAATATATAAGAAGATTAATTAGTATTGCCAAGGCCTATAAAAGGTAACTCGAAAGTCATTTATGACAGTTATCACCCTCCAAAATGAAATGCCACCAATTTATTTGCAGGTTCCCCTCTTAAATTTAAATAAGACCCAAAAAAAAGTGCAAAGCACGGGTAGTTAGGTTTGCAAGCAACTCAGAACTGCTTTAAAAAAAAAAACATACGTACATCTTCAAGCTGCTAAGCAAACCCCTGCCTGTTATCAAAATATCACACATTTGAATCAGCCGGACAATTGGGACATCTCTGCTGGCTGGTGAAGAACACAGCACAATAGAATCAGTTCCTTGAGTGTTGTGATGGGTCATGTCAGTTCTTATTGACTCAACTTAAATGTTGCACATCATCTAAAAACAATTGCTAGCTGTTTCTTGTGTGTCAACATTCTTGTTTTATTTGATACTTCTAAGTTTTACATATTTTACACTTTCCAGCGTTTAAAAAACTAACTAAAACAGATACCTAATACCACACACAACGGCTATCCTCCGAATCTTCTCCTTCTTCTCTTTCACATTGTACCTCAGTGAAGTGTCGGAGGGAGATGTAATGTTTCGTTGATGAGCTCTGTCAAGAGCACTATTAAGACTGATGTTCATTTCTGCAAGGCTTAGCCACTTTAGTCAAATTTTCAAAATCATTTTTTTTTTCTTATAAAACCAGTACAGCTGCATACATATTGAAAAGCTCTTTCCAACGGTACCTCTTTCATGCCTGTATGTCAATTCTAAGCCAAGTTATTGTTTTTGTGGAAAAAATGAACAAAGAAGAAAAAATAAAAGTGAGATAAAACTTGTCGCCTTAAAATCGTAAGTCTTAGAGGAGTGTTTAAAAAGTGCTTTTACTTAAAAAGTATTTAAAAAAGACCCTAGAAACCATATATTTTTGGATTCGGGACAACAATCTCTAACTGAATAAAGATGAAATTTTTAGTAGTTACGTAATATCAACTAATAATTGACTAATAATTATTCAAAATGGCCGCCATTTATCATAATCATTACTCAAAATGTTCTTATAAACTTTATAACGGTCTTTACATTTTTTTTCCTTGGTACGTTTATTGGAAAAAGAAAAAAGCTTTAAATGTGCTAAAGACATAAGCACATGTCAAGCTCAAATTAGAACTAGGTCGCTTATTAAATATTTATATTAATTAATTAATTAAAAAAGAAAATTATTGTTTTTTCACAATCACCATCAAATTTCGGAACAGATGAATTTTTTTTCCCTTAGTCCTGGTGATGTATCATGTGCTTCTCTCCCTCCCCCTTATTTTATGTTATTTTGGCCACTAATTATTAACTAAAAATTAATTGTAAACTAATGTTAAAATAGGCCTAAAAATAACCATTGTCACTAAGTAAGCGAAACCATCTTTACAAATCTGAAGTACACTGACATTTTTCCCCTTGACTCACTCTGAATAATCCAGTCATCACAAATGAACAAACAATTTGTGTGGTTTATTTCAACATTTGATTATTTTTATTTATAAAGCATACTGTCAAAGTGCCTTCCACGTCCACATGGGGGTTCTTTTACCTCTACCTTTGACAGTAATTTTTGACTGTCAGGACAAGTGAGTGCCCTGCTCTGCTCAAGTGCAGAGTTGTCCACTTATTCCGGTGGATACTCGGTCCCCAGAGCTGTGTTTGCCCATCCTCTACCGCGCAGAACTGCAGTTGGGATTTTCCCTTCACCGAGTTATGAGACCATAAAGGCATTTCCCAAAACTCTCCGGTACTTTAGAAAGATTTCATATCCCAGCATAACGATTACATCATTTGCTTCTGCTATCCAATGCCAATCTAAACACACACACACACAAAAAAGTAATCATTAACATACACATATAATAGTAGACAATTTAAATAAATGCACTTAGCAAATCAAACGATTTGAAAAAAAAAAGATTACCATTGTCAGTATTTTGTATGTGTTGTGACAGCTAAGATATGCAATCGTCAAAAGCCAATAATTTCATGTTTTTTTTTTTTCAAACAAATCCTTCATCTATCCACATTCCTTTCTGGTTGGAATACCAGGGCATTCTTGTTAGGTTTCCAAACCACTTCATCTGTTGTTCTTTGATGAGATGACTTGTAAGACTGGCTTTATTCCTAGCATTCGTATGATTTCATATTCTGTCTTTCCTTGAAACTCCTGCAGCTCTTCTAAGGCATTTCTTCTCTGTTGCCACAATTTTACGTTCATTGGAGGATGTAAGTGTCCACGTTTGGCATTGATAGCATAGTGTTGGCCAAAAAATAGTTCTGAAAAGATTAACTTTAGTACTCCGAATAACGGTCTCAAACTATCGAGGCCGGAAATATTCCCTTACAGGTCCTCAGTCACAATCTCCAATGCCGCTACGTGGAGCGGTGCTATACTAGATGGCTGGGACTCACGAGCAGCAGCTACTGCATCTCCTGCAGCTTCCTTCATTTTATTTGCTCGTGAGTCCCAGCCATCTTGTTTAGCCCCGCTCCACGCCGCAAGTAGCGGCGTGGGAGATACTCTTCGCAGTGGCGCTAGTCGCAGGAAGTCCGCAATTTACATGTGACTGAGGCCCTGTTAGGGTATATTTTCAACCTCGATAATTTGGGAACGTTATTCGGAGGATAGCCTAAGAAATTAATCTAGTGATCTGTGGCTTATAAGATAGGAAAGGGGGGGGGGGGGGGGGGGGGAACAGAAACAAACAGGTCTTATGACTATTTTTTATTGTTGAAGGCTACTGTCAAAATGTCCAGTTATTAACTGTGTATTTGTTCCCTTCCCCTTTCAACCTTCCTCAAGTTTCTCAGTCACACACAATTCATGGATTAATTTCCATAAATTTCAAGCATAAACTTATGGCTTTTGAAAATTTTTCTGGTACAAATAATTGCTATAGTATTTAGAGGGCATCAAAGATATAAATGAATGAATATCCGGCTATGTAGCAGAAGCTGCTGTTTTTTAATGGAGTTAATTCTGGATAATGTAAAGATAACTTTCTTTATTTTGAATTGTCAGCAGCGTTTTTTTTCTTTTGGCTCACAGAAGTGATTACCTAGAGCAGGTCAACAATACAGTCTTGTCCCAACACAAGGTGCCGCTATGGAGGTCACCGCAGCAAACCTGGAAGCCATGGGTGGCTATCTGCAGCAGACACTCTCTCAAGACCCGGACATCAGACGCAATGGTAAGGCAAACATCAGATTCATCATCATTGTCCTGCTGTGTCATTATATCTCATATAGGACTTAGTGTGGTATGTTCCTACATTTCCTCCTCTTCTGTGCAATCCCTTCAATATCATGGATGGAGTCTGGTCCAGCACCTTTGGTCTTTCATTATTGTTCATTTTAAGGTTTCTCTATCCCTATATATATTTTCTGTTTTTGTGCTGTCTGGTGATTCTCTGCTAATTTCTTCTAAAGTTGTGTCCAGTATAGCACCATAGTTATCTTATAACTTTGAACACATTCTGCAGACCTGCCTACCCTGTCTACACTGCAGACCTGCCTACCCTGTCTACACTGCAGACCTGCCCACTCTGTCTACAACTTAAAGAAAGACGCCCGGCCTCAAGAGTAAAGTGTGCAGAGCAAGCTAATTGGAACCACGAAGGACCTACTACTGACATACGAGTTCATAGAGGCAACTCACCTGATATACAAAACCGAACGCAAAGAAAAAGAAGAATAAGATCATATAACTTGTTACGCTTTAAAACTATATAGTTTGTAGTTCCCTATTTTTTTTCAGGCTGTTATGAGCTGCTGATGCTATGCAGTGTTTCATAATTTCTTTCTTTTGCACGAGTGAATAAATCAATCAGGAATTTACATCACTGAGCTCAGTACAATCCCACAGGTGCTCTGTCCCCTTCTTCAGTAACCAACCAAAAGTTGACATGCAAATAGTGCCAGTTGCAGCCTGATTAAAAGTCTGCTTTTCTTTCCACTTCACTGTTAAATATCTTCAAGAACCTCTACACATCCCCTGTTGAACTAGTCTTTCAGTGTGTGGAATCCCAATCTGTTCTTTCGCACTGTCCATTTGATCCCATAGAGAGTTCACATCTGCTATATTATATAGTATCTCACTTCCCAGAGCAGCTAATCTATCAGACTGCTTGTCACCTCGCACACCTAAATATCCTGGACAGAAAATTTAATTTTGCCAAAGCATGATCTGTGTCAGTTAAATTACAAAGTCTGCACTGTCTTTGCTAGTTTGAAAACATTTTTATCCAAAGTAAGGACATAGTCCTGTAAATAAGTGACACTTGCATCCGTGCTTTGCTGAGGATACTTGAACAAATAAGGATGTTGGTGTTATTGTTTTTTCTAAAGTTATTAATAAGTGTGCCAGAGATTGCTTCAAAATATCCTTGAAGCAGTGCTGTTGTGGGAAGTTTCTTAATGATTGCAGTAGCCTGCTGGCCCTTAGGCTGAATTAGAGTTGTTGTATGGAGCAGGAACATTGCCAGGAAAATAATGAAAAAGCACTGTATTCAAATGCAGCCAAAGTTGCTATTCACTATATTTTCCTTGTGTGGTCTACATGGTTTCAGGATTGGCTATGCTGAGATTCTGTTCTGAAACAGGTTTTTTCCTCCTAAAAAATATATTCTAAAAGGGGAAGTGAGAACTGAGGTTCAGTTGTATTTCCTGTTTCCTTTTTTGTTTTGATCAACAAATGTCTGCAGAAGTTGGATGTGCCGGCCGATAGACGCAAATATCTAAGCCATGCTGTAAATGGGCACAGCACAGTTTCATCTTCTGATGAGTGCAGAATACATTTATTTTATATCTTCTGTATATCCAGTTTAACATAAATATACTTTTACACTCTGCAGCCGAGAAGTTCTTGGAATCTGTTGAAGCAAACAAGAATTACCCACTGCTGCTTCTGCATCTGATGGACAAGGACACAGCAGATCCCCACATCCGTGTCTCATCAGCAATCACATTTAAAAACTATGTGAAGCGAAACTGGCGAGTGGTATGTGTACAGTAAACAAGTTTCTTTTATTATCATTAAATTTGAAAGTTGGTTCTCTCTCTCTCTCTCTCTCTCTCTCTCTCTCTCTCTCTCTCTCTCTCTCTCTCTCTCTCTCTCTCTCTCTCTCTCTCTCTCTCTCTCCTCCTCCCCCAACCCTCTCTCTCTCTCTCTCTTGCACATTTTGTGTTTCTCTATTTCTCTCAAAATTGTATTTTTTACCTGTATCCTTATGTTTATAGTCTTATTGTTAATTTTACACAAATATCTTATCTGTTGTTTTGTTAAACTTTTGTAGTAAATGTTCTGTTCTTTTGGTCTGCATTGTTAGGAAGAAGGATTCCCAGATAAGATACACCCAGAGGACAGGGAGGCCATTAAACAATACATTGTTGGGCTGATGCTTAAGAGTCCTGAGCAAGTTCAGAAACAAGTGAGTTGCTTTTGTTCCATTTTAACCGAAACTTTCCAAGCAGTGGTTACGTTTATCTCGTTTCTTATATTCTGGGGAGTTACTTTTGTTATTAAGTATTGTTGGGGAGGGGGGATTTCACTATCCAGCGTTTGCCGCATGGCACTCGTGTGGATATCTACAGCTTTTCTCTTAATCAGATATCTTAGGTGTAGCATCTGTCACTCGGTCACTAAAGAAAAGATTGGAGCTTCTGAATTTAAAAAGTTGCAGAAAATTTCATAGAGGAGAAAAATTCTGCACGAGTTAATCATCATGGAGAACTAGCTCATAAACAGCGTTCTGTCCTGAAAGTTGAAGTATATTGGACGCATCAAACGTTATTGCGGCTTGGAAAAGATTTTGATGGAGGGTGTCCTAAAGCGAGGTAGGGGTCAACCTGCGCAAAGATGTATACAGAATGTTAAAGATGCATTTGCATTGAAAGTGCATGGGGCTTGAGAGCCCGCTAGGGAAAGGGATACTTTCAGGCCTTGAGGAGAGCAACACTCTGTAAAGTACTTGCTGATTAAAGATGAGCATCTGTGTGGGTAATTGCTGTAGCTGTACTTCTAAGGGAATGACTGCACCATTTTGTCTTCTCAGTATGGTACAGTGTGTTGCTAATGTTTTCATATCTCAGCAAATGTTGGACTAAGTCACCAACCTTCAAGTCCAAGTCGCCACCAAGTCTCAAATCACCAACAATGCTGTCAAGTCATGCATGTGACATTGCTTGTGGATCAATTAAAACTGGTGAAAATATAAAATAAGAAAAGGCAGTGTGAAAAATCCCTAACTATATATAAAAGCAGAAGAAGTAAAAGGTCATAGCTTGATAAATTGAAACAATCTATCTGTCCTTTTTTATATGAAGTGTTTCAAAGTGTGACCTTGATACCCAAAATCTGACAGTGGCCGGCTGCGAAGAAAAAAGTTCTTCTTGTATGTACATCTGCCTTTGTGTCTATTTCCTATGTGTATGGTATATACGTCTACTATATAGTTTTCTATTCCAGCTGAGTGATGCCATCAGCATCATAGGCCGGGAAGATTTCCCCAAGAAATGGCCAGGTCTGCTAACGGAAATGATCAGCAAATTTGAAACGGGCGATTTCAACGTCATCAATGGCATTCTGAGGACAGCTCACTCTATTTTCAAAAGGTTAGTTTGTGGATAACTGTCCATCCATACATCTGTCCCTACCTTAAACTCTACAGTGGAATAATTTTCCAAAACTAATGAAACTTCTATACATTTGAGCACAATTACTCATTACTTATGCACTAACTCAGTACAGAGTGCATGTCTTTTTTTTTTTTTTTTTAATTCAATCCTCCCTTGCTATACTTTATTTATTCTTCCTTTTTTAAAGTTTCCTTGACTCTTTCAATCCTAGGGATTTATCATCAGAGATTCAAGGGGTAGTAAGAAGACTTGAAATCTGCACATCTTGCGTTCATCGGGCTTCTAGGTAGGAACATATGATGTGTTCCTTGGGACTGAAAGAGTTAACCTTATTACAGTTACCATAATAAACAATAATTAGTCATGTACTTGAGATTTTTTGCAAGCGGATTTACAGTGCATATTATTAAGATGAACTTGATAATAGGTTTATTGGATTATCAGCGTTCCATTAAAAAAAAACTTTTGGATTTCTGGAAAGCCGGTTAACGTGCTGATTTGTCAAGCCCGTGACTCAGTGAACTTGATTAAATCATGCCCACATTTTTTTTATGTTTGCTTTATCTAACCTTTAGATTGTTCCCAGTTTTCCTACAAGCCAACAGGTTTGTGTCTCTTTATCTGCTTTCTATCGCTAGGCCTGTCCAACATGCGATACCCTAACATTAACTGTCCAACATCCGATACCCTAACAATAACTGTCCAGCATGCGATACCCTAACAATAACTGTCCAGCATGCGATACCCTAACAATAACTGTCCAGCATGCGATACCCTAACAATAACTGTCCAGCATGCGATACCCTAACATTAACTGTCCAGCATGCGATACCCTAACATTAACTGTCCAGCATGCGATACCCTAACATTAACTGTCCAACATGCGATACCCTAACATTAACTGTCCAACATGCGATACCCTAACAATAACTGTCCAACATACCCTAAGATAACCCATGCGAACCCAATAACTGTCCAACATGCGATACCCTAACATTAACTGTCCAACATGCGATACCCTAACAATAACTGTCCAACATGCGATACCCTAACAATAACTGTCCAACATGCGATACCCTAACAATAACTGTCCAACATGCGATACCCTAACAATAACTGTCCAACATGCGATACCCTAACAATAACTGTCCAACATGCGATACCCTAACAATAACTATGCTGTTGTCAGCATCAGTTTTGGTGCTGTTAGAACACATGGGTACTTCAATTAGATCAACCTGGTAACAGTGGATAGGGTTGAATTGTTCAGGAGTTTACAGCAGCAACACAGGAAGGGAAATTACCACTTAATGTGGAATTAAGAATCGGCATAACACTTGGGACACCTCCATAAGTGCTCCGTCCCCATCTTCAGCAGCAAGGGAAGAGTTCTAATTCTGATGGCACCATTAACTGTCTGTATATCCGTCTCACCTTTCTTTCCCTAGTGTGTTGAGCATTGGTCAGATCTCCTGGTAACCTCTCGCAGCACCATTCTCCTCAGAGCGTATCGATCTATTTGTGCCTCCACACAAACATTTATAAGCACTGTAACATATTGAGAATGCACCATTTGAAGAGGTTACATGACCCAGTGAAAGTGGCTGACCATGAAGCCAGATTTCAGTAGTATTCTGTGACCTGATGTGGAAAGTGAGAACACATTACAAGATGTTTGAGATTCAATGTGAATAGCCATAACGCTGTGTGCATTGCTTAGAACTAAAAGAGTTTGCATTGACTGTATTCCAGGTATCGACATGAGTTCAAGTCTCAAGAACTCTGGGAAGAAATCAAGTTTGTTCTTGATCACTTCGCTGCCTCCTTGACTGAGCTTTTCAAGGTTTGAAATTTACACCAGTGTTTGCCCTTAACTTTTGTCTGCTTATATGCGACATAGTAATGTTATGATACAATTACTTGTATTATTTAATTGAAATAAAACTGAATAGTATTACATTTGCAAACATTTGTATATTTAAAAGTGTAAATCAAGGCCATTTTTTAAAGGTACAGTTCTGGTCTAGTCTCAAAACTCATATTAAGATTACACCATAGAGATGTTAAGTTTAAGACTGGGAAATTTTTTATTTTATGTTACAGTAAGAAATTTTGAAGCAAGTATTTTAAATTTAACCTTAAAGGAAGATTGATTTAGGGAAGTTCACCAAAGGTGTATTGTCTAGCCGTGACCTAATGAAAACATCTGGCTTTTCATAAATGTATTTACAGTAGTTCCTCTGTGTACATCCTTAATCTGTACCAGATCCTTTATACTAAAATTCATCAATACATAATAAATTGGGAAGGAAGCAGAAGAATACATTAGAAAAATTGAAGATAAGTCAACAACACAAAATGAAAAGCTGCAGGCTCCTTGAGCTGTGTTATCTGCAGGATGTATTCGTAACTAACAAAACTTTATAGGTAGACGCCAAATCAAAAGGTTTGACTGTGTAACAAGATTGGCAGCAGCTGGGGCACCACACAGAGCAGTGTTATACAGTTACAACAGTAACAGACCCAGAGGTTGACTACACTGAACATGGACTGCAGAAATATCAAACACTGAAAAGTACTATATACAAAGCAAACAGAAAGGCCTGTTCTAGAGATTCCTCCCCTGACACGGCGAGAAATTCCAGGAGTAGAGAAAAGAAGTAGTAAACAAAAGAAGAAGTGATCATTTAATCAGTGTTTCCCAAACTTTTGTGGTTGTGGGGCCCTTTTTTTTCAGTTAAAATTTTCCCGAATGCTCAAGTGAAAGTATGACTATTTGTGTCTTGTTTAAATTAATTATGAAGCTTTTATATTTGCGGCGCGGCACCCCTGTAAAGGGGTCGCGGCTGTCCAGGGCGCAGTTTGGGGATCACTGGTTTTAATGATTACATTTAGTGAATTGTTACTTAATGTTCTATTTGTTATCCCTGCCACTGGTGTGGCCACAGATCCTCCACTGATCCATACAGTTTGACTTCCACAAGAATGCCAACTGGCAAGACCATGGGTGTCTGTTCTGCAAGTAAAGAGCATATATGCAGCACATTTTCAGAATTCTGTGGTGCCTGTCCACGTGGACAGAGTATAGCCCCAGTCTTGAATTTCTTGCCTGAAGTTTTATGCCTTGTTGCATTAAAATTATTTTTGTCATATAAATAAAAAAAAATTTTATTCCTTAAAAATTAATTCCTTCAGTGGTTTATCTTATTGATTCTCTAGGCAACGATGGACTTGGCAACAAAACATGCAAATGACCCTAAAGCCTTGAAGGTGATCTTCAGTAGCATCCTGCTTATCTGCAAGATTTTTTACAGCCTCAACTTTCAGGTGAATAGGGAATTTTTATGTCTGTTTTTCTATAATTGTATGCTTTTGGCACCAGTATATCTGTTTTTGTATAATTGTATGCTTTTGGCACCAGACTTCGTTCATGGATGTTTTTCTTATACAATTCTGGACAGACTTTGTCTGTGCCTTTCTTACTGACAATATTTGATAGTATTTGTTATATGCTGTGCTTATAACTGTGTGTGGGGGGTGGGAATCACGCTCCACTATGTAACACAGTGACTAAGTTTACTCAGGGGCCAGAATTTTGAAAGTGTAGATCTTCGCTGGCCAGAGATCTGATCCTCGGCATACACAAATTAGATCTTTAATACAATGCAACTGGCAGTGATATTCGGGCCACTGGCCAGTGTGCTGCCAGCTGATTAGCCCCGCTATAGAGTCCCAGATTGTTCTTGAGTATTCTTGTCTTGATCATGCCATGTGGCAGAGCCATTATAAAAAAATCTTGCCCTTTCCCTAAGATTTTTCAGGTATGTGTCCTGTTCTATTTCCCTAAGCTCACTAGTCACAGTTTTGTGGATTAAATTACCATGAAAATGGATGGCCTGAAAAATATCATATTTCAACTGTCTTTTTTGACAAAACTTGACAGTAAAGGATCCCAGTAAAGCATACAATTTTTCTTGTGTGTGTGGTTCCCTATCGTTAGGTTTGTTAGTCACAGTTCAGTAGAATAATTTGTTGGTATTAGCTTATCTGTAGATCAGGGATTCGCTACACAAATAAAACCACAAATGCCCCACGAAATGTGTTTACGTCACCTTCCCTTGTTGGGGAAAACATGAATAGACTGCCTCTCTAACTAGCATGTCACAAGGGTCGACTAATTTGGGGTTTCCTTCGAATTCGGAGTGCATTAAAGATGTGCTTCATTTATACTCTTCCTCACTTGAATCCAAGTCCTTGCGCAAGTCACTTTCATCCAATACCTTTATTTATATACAGGAAGATGTGAATTATTTATGTACAGGAAGATGTGATTTATGTATTTACAGGAAGATGTGATTTATTTAAATACAGGATCTCCCAGAGCACTTTGAAGACAATATGAAGGCATGGATGAAACTGTTCATGGACTTGCTAAGTGCAGACAACAAACTACTTCAGACAAGTGTAAGTATTGTAACTAGAATTTTTTTTAGGTGCCTTCTTTTATAAGCTTCATCCAAGAAAGCATATCTAGCTGACTTTTCTGCCTCCTCAGCTGCTACCACAGGAATCCAGATCTCACTCCAACAGGAACAGATCTTGCATATCCTGGTCAAGTCACTGTTGACACATACAGCATTCACTGACGTATACTGCATTCACTGACGCATAAGGCTTTCACTCACAGCAGATGTCCTCAATAGTAAATAGTTTATTAGTTAATGTTTTTTTTTAGTCACTTCGTTAAATGATCAGTATTTTTCTAGCGTTAATTTGATTTAAACATGGGTTGTTTTCTTTTAACTATTATTTTCAGGATGAAGAAGAGGTTGGATTACTAGAGCAAGTAAAATCACAAGTTTGTGACAATGTCACACTATATGCTCAGAAATACGACGAAGAGTTTTCACCCTACCTGCCCGAATTTGTGACAGCCATTTGGAGCCTGCTGATCAACACAGGTCAGGAGGTGAAATACGATCTGGTGAGTAGATAAAGAATCACTTATGTTGATCTTAGGAAGAGAACTAAATAAGGGTTGACTTTGTAAAATTCATGTGAACTCAAAGCATTGGATCGCGTTGCCATCACTTTTAGCACATTAACCCTTTTTTGTGATTTTTTTGTTAGATCACACACCCCCTTTAGCATACTGCGGAAAAAAGAGGGCTAAGTTCAGGTGAACGAGGAGACTACACATGAATATGGGATTATAGTTAATGAAATTTTCTATGTGTCTACTAGACTTTAGGGACAGCCTATTGTGCTTTATTTTGGGAGGCAAAAATTGAACCAGACATACAAAGCTGAACTTAAAGGAAGAGCTTTAAACAGTAACCTTCATACTGCATATGACACACTGTCATAATGAAAACTCTGCCATAACTAGTGTTGGTAGCTCAAATTGACTGGTTTTCATTTGAGGAAAACTTTATATTTATTGTGTCAAAGATGGTGTAAAAGGAATGTTCTGTTTTAAACTGTGGGCCTCATGGTCAAAGGTTGTCATATCCTTTTCCTGGGTCATTCACAACCCAACATACTGGGGGCCACAGAAACAATGAATAAATTCCCATCACCACTGGAAATTGAAACTCAGCCTACAGTTGATAGCTGGTGGCTCTTACTTCTGTGCTATTTAAGCTCCCACATACATACACCGTAGCTGGTGGCTCTTACTTCCGTGCTATTTAAGCTCCCACACACGTACACCATGGAGACTTCTTCTTCGCTTCCTCTTTTAAAGCTTTGGATGTTGAGGGAGATATAAAGTTCTTGTTTCTATAAAGCTTCTTGTTCTTCTGGTCGCCTCAAACACAGACGGCCCTACTGTTGGTCGAATTTCTCTGATTTTATCTTTGCGCTTTGTTTTTGTTCTATCTCATGCTGTACATCTTTCTCCTTGTTTAGTCTGTGCCTTGTATGGTATGGTGTCACAAGGCATTCTCTAAGTAAGCAAACCATTTGATTTGCTGTCTTTATGTAAATTAAAATTGTTCTTCACAAGGCATTCTTTCTAAATGGGCAAACCGTTTGATTTGCTGCATTTGTTTGTAATTTAGAATTGGTTCTGTACCAGCTGTTTCTCCTATGACCCCATTCCTGATTTTTCTTTCACACATTGTCAAATAAACATGATTATATTTCAGATTGTGAGTAATGCTATCCAATTCCTGGCGTCTGTGGCGGAGCGTCCGGCATACAAAGTTTTGTTTGACAACACTGAGACTCTAGCCAGCATTTGTGAGAAAGTTGTGGTTCCCAACATGCAGCTAAGAGGTTAGTGTTTGTAAGGATTTACCAGTTAGTGTTTGTAAGGATTTACCAGTTAGTGTTTGTAAGGATTTACCAGTTAGTGTTTGTAAGGATTTACCAGTTAGTGTTTGTAAGGATTTACCAGTTAGTGTTTGTAAGGATTTACCAGTTAGCGTTTGTAAGGATTTACCAGTTTTACCATAGACTAGAATTTACTGTAAATGTATAATGTTGCAGGTCCTGGTATCACTGAGCTTATTCCGCTTGTTAATTTTTTCTGCTATACTGCCTGTGTTGTATATGCAGGCATTTACTGACACATCAGGCATTCACTGACACATCAGGTATTCACTGACACATCAGGCATTCACTGACACATCAGGCATTCACTGACACATACAGCATCCACTGAAAGGTGACTAATGTAGAATTTGCTGAAATTGGATGTGTTGTGCCATTATCACAGCGTAGCTGTAAAACTGCAACACAACACGCCTAGAAATGTGCTAGACTTGTGGTTCCCAGTTAGATAAGACCTCTAGACCCCTTTTATTTTCACAGGTTTGCCACTGACCCCATGCCCTTTAATAGTCATATTTGAAATAAACTGGGGGAAAAAAGGTTTTTGTGTGTGTGTAACATAATATCACAGACCCCTTTAAATCCTGAAAAGCTGCAAAACTGACACTTCCGATTGTGTCCTATTCCCTGTAAAAGTAACTTCCTCAACTTGTCTGTAGTATCCTGTTTATGTTTACAGGACACATAGTTAATGGTATTGTTGTTGTTGTTTTTTTTGTGTGCCTGCATAAACAGTAAAGATGTCAGGCTGTGAACACATTAACTAAAAATAGCATTTTTCTGAGTGTTTCCAACTTCTAGGATACAACCCTAAGTAGTTGACTTTTATGACATGCATGTTAGCGAAGGGGAAATGGGTCTATTCCTTCTCCTTCTAATTTTGCATTTTGGAATCCACATAGGGCATAATGTATTGTTTTATCTTTGTTTCCTGTTGGTATATTGCTTGTTTGCTGTGATTCATTTTGATTAACCTGCAAATGTTTCAGAAACGGACGAGGAGCTGTTTGAAGATAATCCTGAAGAGTATATGAGGAGGGATATTGAAGGTTCAGGTAAGTTATAGTTGGTTTACAAATTATGTTTTCTCTTGCAAGGGCTTAAATAATATATCTGATGGTATGTAATATTTGAAGAAAATTTTTGCTTGTTTTATTGATGTATGTGTGTGTAACATTTATGTGAGCATTAAGTAAAAGTGTCAATTTTTTTTCCCCCCACAGATGTTGATACAAGGCGGAGAGCTGCTTGTGACCTAGTTCAGGCCTTGTGTAAATCATTTGAAGGGCCAGTTATTCAGAACTTTTCTCGTTACGTACAGTCACTACTAGAGGTATGGGTATTTTCTACTATTTATATGCATAAGGAACATCCTTTCGACCACTTTGGTGTTGGTGCCTGAATAGTGGTCTTGAAGCTAGGTGATAGAATTGAACCACCATGTTGAAGTCATAATATTTACTGGCTGTTTGTGTATTGGGCAAGGAATTGCAGAGTATTAGGAAGTTGGGTCACCTCATTTGCTAAAAAAAAAAAACACACTCATATTCTGTACCATGTTGCAATCACAAAAAGTACTTCTGAGCTGGCTGTGCTCTTGAGGTACAAAATAAGTTGGTCTCCCCACTTAGTAAAGCTAATAATATCATTTCATTTTTAGCTTGTTATGGACACTTAGCTTACCTCAAGCAAAAATCTTCTTCTGCTTTCTAACCCCCAGTGGAGCATAGGCCCCTAACCAGCCCACGCCAAGTCGTTATGTCCTTCCCATCTAGCTCTATTCTCTGTTTTTTTTTGTTTTTTTGTCTGCCCTTATTTATATAACCCTGTGGGTTCCAGTGCAAAGACATTCTAGTTATATTGTTCTCAGGTTTTCTCAAAATGTGTCCTATCCAGAACTAGCATCTTTTCTTCACCTCATGGTCCACTGGATCTTGTTAAGTTCTGCCCCAGAAATCAACATTAGTGATTCTATCATACCATTTGATTCCATCTATTCTGCGCAGGTACCAGTTAATGAATGTCTGTAGTTTATAAATCTACTTCTTCATTTAATTTTTGATATAAATGTGCATGTGCGTATTCGCACAAAGATGAATGGAGATAGTAGTTTCATAGACATTGAATATTCAGGCGCAGTGGTGACTGCACAAAATAAGTCAGAAAAACACTTGCTTCTGTAATGCAGGTGCTAAACAATTTAGAAGACTTACGGGACAGAACATGCAAGCGAGTTAAAGTAAACATTGTAAGATCTTGCATCTTTTATCTGTCAACTTATGGGTGTGACTCATGGACTTCCACTCACTTTTTGAAGAAAAATTCAGAGCTTTTCAGCTGAAACGCTGCAGAAAATTCTTAGAAAAACACTCTACATTCTACTCATTACTTAAACATTGAGCTCATAAACAATGCTCCAAAAGAGGAAGTATTTTGACCATGTTGGGTATCAGTGGCCCCGAGGAAGCTGTAGGGTGCAACTTCCAGAGAGTGAGGCAGAGGCTGACCTCCGTGAAATGAATGCAAGACATTAAAGGTGCATTGGCTTTAAAAGCACATGGGTTTGGAGAAAGACTTGCTGATTGATGTACCTCCAGGGCTTGGTATGCTAGAGAAGGGGGAAAGATTCAGCTCGCTTCATTGTTTCACTAAATTTCCCATTAGATATTGAAATATTTATGCATAGTTTTTTTTTTATTTGCACAGGAATATGGTAAAAATCCCACACAGAACTGGAAGAGTAAAGATGCTGCCATCTTTCTTGTGACATCCTTAGCAGCTAAAGGACAGACTCAGAGGGTAAGATCATTGTCTTTCAGATTTTATTTGAGCTGCTAGAATTCAGCTAACCATTAGACTGTGAATCTTGCGCGAATCCTTGGACCGATCAAAGATGCAAACAGCGGGGAATGGAGAGTGAGAAGCAACAACGAAATTCATAATCTGTTGAAATCGCCACTGATCACTGGCATCCTGAAAGCTATAATAGACTGAAATGGCTGGGGCATTTTGAAAGAATGTCAGATGACAGAAAAGTAAAATCTGAATACACATAGGAGATGAATGGTCCTAGACCATGAGGCAGACCAAGAAGAATATGGAGAGATAATGTCCAGACAGACCTGTAAACACACTAACTTGAAAGAGAAGGCCAATCAGAGAGATGAAGGCATGTGATATCTGCAGCAATGAACCTCAGGGATCAGAATGCGGAAGAAGAAGAAGATTGACTTGGTGGTGAAAAAAAATGTTGTGGTGTAAACACTGGCATGACTGGGCGGAGAACACAGAAGATCTTGACTTTGGCTGACTGTGTTGTTCTGCTTAGTACAAACAGCCTATAGCATTAAGTGTTGGTAAGTTCAAATAAGTTATGAAAAGACAAATTTATTGAAGACACCAACAACAAATCAGGTGGGTGTAATGCTGGGGATTAAAGTAACAGATCACTTTACTAATTTAGGTAGCAATTTGGATAGTGAAGGAAATACAAAGAAAGAAATTATGACACACGCTGGCAAGGCATCAGCAGCTTTTAACTCTTTTGAGTCCCAAGGACAAATCATATGTTCATAGATTTCCTACCTAGAAGCCTAATGAATGCAAGAGGTGCCAATTTTACGTCTTCCTTGACTACCCCTTGGGCCTGTGCTGTTAAACCCCCTGGGACTCAAAGAGTTAATATATTCAACAAAATATGAACTCTGAATTTTTCAGTTTCAAAACCAAGCTACATATTTTCAATTTTAATGTTATTTCAGTTTTAGCATATGCAAGTGAAAGTTGGAGAAGCATGGAAGCCATGGAACGAAACAGTTAAATGCATTCCAAAACAAATGGAAAATGCTGAGGGTAAACTTTAAAAGGAGTGAAGAAATAATAGACATGTCTGGGCAACCACTAGTATCAACAGATATAAGACAGAGAAGATGGCCCTACATTGGACATGTCATGAGAAGAAACCAGCAGAGAATCACCAAACAGGCATTACAATGGGGAAAAAAAGGGACTAAAGGAGGTGAGGATGCCCAAACAAAACCCGGTGGTGATCATTGATGAGAGAGGCCAAAGCTGCTGGGCTGGATTCCTTCCATGATATTGAACTGATTGCACAGGATTAAAAAAACAGAATGAAGAAATAGGCTGAACCCTATGTGACACAATGGCACACCAGGATAATGACAGTGAAATGAATTCAGCTGTTTGGTTTAAGCATTCTTATTGGTTACAAGATATTCACATTTTAAAAAGAATTCATATTATAAATTTGTTCGATACATTTTAGCAAAAGATTCACTCTTATGCTTAATTTTATATTGATTTAATTCTGCTGTAACGCACCTAGCGAGATACAGCCAGGTGTGCCAAGCATTCAATTATGCAATGTATTTTATAGACCAGTCGGCACTTGGTGGGTGATGTGGTCAGCATCACACTGACCACCTGTACTTCCAAGGTCTTTACCTGGTACCCACTCAAGGCTAGGCCGACGGGAACCAGGGTAATTTTTGGAGGGGAAAAATCGGGATCTAAACCCAGGGCATTGGGGTCTGTAGGCAAGCCACTAACCATTACAGCACAGCAGATATCAGATGAAATACTGTTGCACTTTCTCCCTGTATTTACTACTTTGGGGGGGGGGGGGGGGGGGGTTGAGCCTGAATATTTTAGGGCTGCATGGCTGTTAATGAAGTGAAATATTTTAACTATGTTAAAAGAAGGCAACACTCTTCATACAAGCAATACTAGGGACAAAGTTGAGATAGACCTCGATAGAAGTGGTAGAATAACATCAAAACTTGCACAAATAATGGTCTCATATCGTACAACCAGGACGAAAGACAGCTTGCTGGATATCCATCGTGGCCAACCTTCACTGTGAAGATGATTAGTTATCTCCATGAGATTTAATTATGTTAGTGTAGCAGGCACCTGATAGAATAGGTCAACCGGTAAATTGTGCAGTCTGTTTGTGTCTTCTTTGGCCAGAACTATAAGACTTTGTGGAAGCAGAAAAATAGGCTGTGATATCATGTAATAAAACGATGCGCTGTAAATTTAATTAAAGCAAGGGGCTGTAGGGTATAGAGACATGAATTCCCCACCAGCAAGATACAGGATGAAATGCCATGTGTGTTTCCATTCTAGCAAGGAGTGACACAGACCAGTGAACTTGTCAATATAACTGAGTTTTATCAAGCCCACATTCTGCCAGATTTAAATTCTCCAAACGGTGAGTGCACAATCTCAGATTGATCTGTTAGTTGTATTTTAGTTAGTATAATTGTTTGCATAATATGATGCACATGGTGTCAAAAGGCATAACTTATTTAAGATAAGTTATTTGATTTGGCATTATTATGCTCCCACCGGTATCTCACTAAGGTTCATATTCCAAATTTTGGGACAGTAGATGCGCCACCACTACCAAATCATCATATAGCAGGTCCTTTACAGAGCGTTGCTTTCATAATGGTCTGCCCGGGGGAAACTCGTTTGTACTCTCCTAACCAAAGTGTCACTTAGATCCTGTGCCCATGCGGGCCGGCCCTGCCCCTCTTTGTCCTGGTACTCTGCCTTCTGCTATTATTTTTGTCTAATCTGCTGTGGCACTTGATTTTGCCAAAATATTTAAGTTTCTGAGTCAAGATGCTGTTTACCAACAGATCTTCCTTTATGTTCAGATCTGTCAAATACAGATGTTTATTTTATTTTATTGCACACATTTGTCTCTGTAAATGTTACTGTATCCATTTTTAGTTCACATAGCAAGAATCTCAACACAATTTTTGAACACCATGACATCATTGGGGAACAAGTGTGTGTTTTACCAGGGTCATTTGAGCTTATATATATATCTATATATATATATCATATTTGTGTGTGTAGATTTCTTAGTTTGAAATTTAGTTTAGGAATTGGCCAATTTGGCCTTCCTGTTTTTAGCTTCTGATTGGCAGTTAGTGTTTTATCGCTAACTAGATAATGCACATTCTTTCATTAGGTCATTGTCCTGCTGTTCCCATGGAATGTCACATAGGACTCGCAGTCTTCTCCATTCCCTTCTATCCTGTGCAATGGATATCCTGGATAGAATCCAGTTTAGTGCCTTTGGCTTCTTTCATTATTCACCCTAAGGTTTGTTTCTCTTGCATGTCCTCGTTTCCTCAATCCCTTTATGTCCCATTTTCTTGAATGGCAGCATTTTTTAAAAATACAGATCCAGGCCAGTAAGTGAACACATTCTGAACAAGGCATAGGCAGGCATTACAGCTTTGGAGGCATTATTTATTTTTACTTGTCACTGATTTATTATAATGCATGTCATGTTCTGTGTTCTTCATTTTTAAAACAATACCCTTGTATATTTTAGTGAATGAAATGCCCATCTTGAAAGCTGACGTGATCAAGTATTTGATGGTCTTCAGAAATCAGGTATTACTCTTGTGTTATTTGTTTCTTCTTTACTGCAATATAGTCGTTGTCTGGGGCTTAGACTTTGCGAACGAGCTTTGTGGTGCCGGCTTCGATCCCACCTGCAGGGGGTTTGTCTTGTGTTGGTTTTGACAGTGATACCGAAAGCTGAAATTTGCCTAGAAAACCACAATAACCAAAAGATGCTTGGTTTGGTTCTGCAATGTCCTGTAAAGCATACACAATTAACTTCCCTGGAGCCCGGCTCTCTAGCGTAGTTGGCTAAACCAGAGTGCGCGGAGACCGGGTAATGAAGTTGTGGCCTGGGTTCAATCCGTATTTACATTGGATTACCGTATTTACATTGGAATCAAGGCCGAAAGGTTGCGATATCCATAATACGAAGCCTAAGGGTTAACAAGTCATGGCTTCTGGATACTAAAACAAACAAACTTCACTGGAACTGTAAACATAAACAGTTGTAAATCTAAAAGAGCAGCCTAACTGAGCCGCCCTGGCAAAATTTGGAGTTAAAAATCTACCCAGAGTATATCAGGATACTCGCTAGTGATACAGAGTTTGTGCACTGCGCTGAGAATCTTCGGATTCAGACTTGTTAGAAGAAGAATGGATCACTTATGAGTTACTACCCTTGTGCCATGATGTTATCCAGTGTTTAAACCTATCTGAAAACCACCAGCGGGGGAGGAGGGGCACCATACAACTGCCAGCCCAGCAGTTAAAGAACGTTTAATGATAATAAAGGGCATAGCAGGAATAAACAATACCAGCAGAGTTGTACTGGCATGATTTCATTTCACAACAGGGGTAGTGTACTCTTTTGAGCTCTCGTTTCGGTGCTTTGTTAATATCCTACCCCAAACGGGGGAAATCCACAGGTCACGGGACAGTCTAATATTTCAGAGGGTGGTAGATAGGCTGCATGCAGTTGTGGGACCTAGGCTGCACTCTCTCGTGGGACGTAGGTAAGTTGGGGTTAGGGCCAATTCTATATGTTTTGGGATAGTTAGAAGCATCAGAAAGCCGTGAAACCCAGTCTTACCACCTTCTTAAATATTGAACTGTCCTGTGACGTCATCTGGGGTAGGATATTACTGAAGCACCCTCTTTTTCTATTGCAGCTACCACCTGTTGTAATCCAGGCCGCAGTTCCCAACCTGATGAGATACCTGTCAGCCCAACCTGTTGTCGTACACACATACGCAGCCAATGCTCTTGAGAGACTGTTTGTGGTCAAGGTTAACGGTGTTGGAGTGTAAGTGCTGTTTGTGGTCAAGGTTAACTGTGTTGGGGTGTAATTACAGTTTGTGGTCAAGGTTAATGGTGTTGGGGTATAAGTAGTTCTATTACTTAACAAATTGCGTATGTTTGTAGTTGATCATTATTACCATCTGTACCATTTCCGCATTAGTTCTCAAATCACGGCTCGATCAGAAATGTGTTACACTTGTAATTGTAAAAATTGTTATGCTGTTTCCTCTGGCTTCACTTAACCTACACTAGTAAGTAATAATTTGTATGCTGTTTTCTCTAGCTTCACTTGACCGACACTTGTAATTGTAATAATTGTTATGCTGTTTCCTCTAGCTACACTTGTCCTATACTTGTAATAATTGTTATGCTGTTTTCTCTGGCTTCACTTGACCTACTCTTGTAATTGTAATAATTGTTATGCTGTTTTCTCTGGCTTCACTTGTCCTATACTTGTAATTGTAATAATTGTTATGCTGTTTCCTCTGGCTTCACTTGACCTACTCTTGTAATTGTAATAATTGTTATGCTGTTTTCTCTGGCTTCACTTGACCTACACTTGTAATAATTGTTTTGCTGTTTTCTCTGGCTTCACTTGTCCTATACTTGTAATAATTGTTTTGCTGTTCCCTCTGGCTTCACTTGACCTACACTTGTAAGTGTAATAATTGTTATGCTGTTCCCTCTGGCTTCACTTGACCTACACTTGTAAGTGTAATGATTGTTATGCTGTTTCCTCTAGTATCACTTCAGAACAAATTCAACCCTTGGCAGTTGACTTGCTGACAAGTCTGTTTGGTGCGATGGAGATGCCAGGTTCCACAGAAAATGAGTATCTCATGAAAGGTACATCTTTCACATTTCTATAAAAACTTTTGAGTTACTTTTGAGAAATTCTTTGAGAAGTTTGTTTATTATAAAATATCTGTTGAGTCTTAGATTCAAATCTGCAAAGTGGTTGATTTGTTATAATTGAATTCGGCTGAACCCAGTCTTAGATGGGTACTAGAAAATGTCATGGGAATTAAAAGCAAAGCAATCAGCATGGTACCATCACCACCCATCAGTGCTTACTAGTTCATACAAATATGTTAAAAGTAAAGGACCCATTTCATCAAGTAACGCTTCAGGGTTATGATGCTATGCTCATACTTGTAGCGATCAAATGGAAATCGATGGGGGGGATAATTAGCATCACATCAGCCAACCTCAGTTCCAAGAGCAATACCAGGCACTGATTTAATAGTGAGTCGACCTGGAAGCCAAAGTCAGTAAAAAGAAAAAAATATCCTGTGTGCATACTTAACCCAAGACCATTGGGCTGGTGGACAGGCATCTAGCCATGGTGGTTTAAAATTGTGTTCTGGCATTCAGATCTCAAAGTAGCAGCATGTTGCTTATAGAAGTCGGAGTAAGTAAGGCAAAAATTGTCACCTACTAGCAAGCACCACTGCTTAGACACCCAAATGTCCTCCTTCCAGCAAAACAGCAATGGATTAATAGCATCTTTATTGTTAGTTTATGTTATCAGTGCCAGACATGGTCAATGAATAGGGCATTAGAACAGAAAATAAATGCATGTGAAATGCGCTGTCTCCGTAAGTTCTTTAGCAACTCAAAAAGTTGGAGTAAGACAGTGACGTGACTGAATTATATTGACAGACAAAGAATGAAATGGTTCGGCCATTTAGTGAGAATGTACCCAGACCAAACTGCATGTGAGATTTAAAAAAAAAAAAGAATTTTTGTGTGTGTAGCAGTACATCTTGGAAGAAGGCGAGGGGAAGACCAAGAAAGAAGTGGATAAATCAGGAAGCTGAAACATAAATAAAAAATGATGAAGAATTCTATCACGCAAGCTACCAGAAAAATGCATGACAAATACAGAAAATTCAAGACACTGGGCTACAACCTGGTGTCAGTGAGACGACAAGAAGCTGATGATTGTATTGCTTTATCATGACATTTGTCTTGTGTTATGTTAGCCTTTTAGTTCACAATTCATATTCATTGTTAAAAGTTGTAAGGTCATGTAGCATGTAAGATCAGGCAGATGTTCTGTATAATTTTCCTCCAGTGGCATGTGATTTTTCCATTCATTTCTTGATAAACATTTTTTTTAAATCTATCTCAACTCCCAAGGGGTTTTTCATCAGAAACCCAAGGGGTGGTAAAGAGAGACGTAAAATCAGCGCATCTTGCGTTCATTGGGCTTCTAGGTAGGAACCTGTGATGTGTTCCTTGAGACAGAAAGAGTTAAGGACTCCTTAACGTTACATTTGTGTCCCTGGGTCACCCTGAAATCTGGCCAACGGGGCTCTGGTAAAGTTGCGACAGGCCTAGCAAGCCGGCAATAGATTTATAATCGCTACAGAAAACACAATGAGATATAAACAGACTGATCAAACGGTATCTGACCATGGCTGTGTTAAGACAGCCATGAAATTACAACATCTAACATCCATGAATGAAGAATGTAAAGCAAATAATATGAGAATCAACACTGAAAAGACAGAAGTAATGTCAATAGGAAAAAAGAAGACAGATCTAAACATGGCAATAGAGTGCAAAGGCATTAAACAGGCAAATGAGTTTAAATATCTGGGAACTACATTTACCGAAGATGGGAAATTGGATAAAGAAATTAACATTAGATGCAGTAAAACAAACCAAGTATTGGGACAGCTAGCTCCCCTCTCACAGCATAAGACAATCACAATCAGCACAGAGACATCTTATTCAAAGCATATTTATTCCAACTCTGTGCTACCAGTGCCAGACATGGTCACTCACAACAAACAATAAAAGAAAATTGGTAACCATGAAAATAAGATGTCTGAGAAGGGCTGTGGGAGTGACCAAAAGAGATAAGATCAGGAATGAGATTATAAGAGAAAAAGTTGGCACAGAACCAATTCTAAATTACATACGAAGACAGCAAGTGAAATGGTTTGCCCACTTGGAGAGAATGCCTTGTGACACCATACCACACAAAGGATACATGGAAAGAGAAGAAGGACGTAGAGCATGAGGTAGACCAAGAACAAGATATAGGATAACATCAGAGAAACTCCACAACAGCACGATGTGCCTATGGTCGAGGCGGCCAGAAGAGCTAGAGACAGAACCTTATATCTCCCTCGACACCCACAGCGGTAAAAGAGGAAGTTAAGAAGAAGAAGATGAAATCTAGCTTTTGAATTATTTTCATGATAATTTTTATCAGACAATCTAATTTTTATCTGAGGGCACACAGTTTAAAACAAAATTATGAAGCAGGTGACACATGGCTGTGTCTGGCTGATTTGCTACCTAATGTCAGATTTTCATGAAGATACTGTTCTCCCCCCGTCTGCCTCCCAATTTTTATAGACATTTTTGCCTAAACATAATTTTATACCATGTATTTGTCTTTATTCCTTCTCCTTTGCAGTTTTCTTTTGATACACAGCGAGAATATAAAATTTATAAATACAGTATAGCGGGACAAGCTATACTTTCATCTGTTGGTAGAATGCATAGATATATGTAACATACAAACCCTAAGCCTTTTGCTGGTGGACAAGCAAACATCTAGCCATGGTTCACCTGAAAATTTGTTGTCATTTGCCATATACCTGTGTAGGAATGCTTCACATGTTTCTTCTTTAAAATGTTAATAAACTCGGATCAAGACTTTTTATCAGTGTAACCCAATGCTGATTGTGCTTTCCGTTTTCTTCCTGTAGCCATAATGAGGACAATGTCACTTCTGCAGGAACACATTGTTCCCATGATCCCTCAGTTGGTGGAAGGTTTGAAGGCCAAACTTCTGCTAGTCAGTAAGGTGAGGCTCATTTGTTTGTCTTCTTCTGTGTTCACCTTTGAAATGTGATTCAAATATTGTCATTGTACTTTTCCATGATACAAGGACTGACAAGTAATGACAGTAATTCCATAAAAATTAAAATAATCAACAGTTAAAGATAAAACATGTATATTATTCAAAGTTAGCCTCTTTGGCATTGATATAGTGAGTGGCAGGGTCTAACGACCACTGTAGTTCTTCTGTTGTTATGGCCCTTAAAGTCGATGTTATGGCCCTTTGGATGCCATCAGTATTGTCAAGAAGCGCCCTTTCAATGGCAGCTTGAATTTTGGGAATAGAAAAAAGTCACTGGGCGACAAATCTTGGGAATAGGGTTGATGGTTGAGAACAAACATCCGTTTTAAGGCCAAAAATTCCTGTACAGCTACCGCCCTTTGAGCTGGTGCATTGTCACGAAGAAGGGAAAAAAATTGCCAGGTGTTGAATACAAACCAGCAAGCAATTTTTTTTTTTGCTAAATCTTCCACTAAAATTTTACGAATAGTCTCTGTAAACACCATATTCATCTAACATCATTCCAGTTGAACAACGATTGTCAGGAACCTAATTGTCTAGGGTTCGATTCCATTGGCTCTACTATAGGCTAATGACATGAAAACACTGTTGACAAACACACTCAAGCCAAACACTGGTGGCAACACACACACAATCTTTGTTACCAAAGATACAAAGCGGTGGTACACCTGAGGAGGGGTAGCGCTCCTTATTCTGAAACCAGGCCGCGTCTTAACTTTAAAATCGCTTAGAGGCGCCTTTACATGTTCATGAAATAAGCTCTGAGCCACTACCACTCTCACGTCCAGTGCCAGCTCAACCCACTGTCTCCCGATGCCAAAGACGCTATGGCACACGTGTAAGCCTACGTGCGTCGACAGTGCTAACACCACCAACAATGAATGGTCTGGCTTCTAGTTACAACTACTGACACAGTCTAGCTACTACCTGACAAGAGATATTAACTGAGATCTAACTAGAACACATGCTATCTACTCTGTAACGAATTAAATACATTTAATGACACTATGAACAGAGCGCGTTACAGCTAATAACTACACTGGTACATTTCTACACGTCAAAACGAACTGTCCCTAAATCTAGCACAATCTAAACTCTCGTCCCACGTCAAGCTACACAGTAGTCACACACGCAAGCGTCAAGCGTCTGGTCCAGAATGTCCCAAGTCTACTCTGCAAACCCGTTTTGTTCTGGGCTTCCGAGTTCATGCGATGGTCAAAACCTTCGTGAAGTCCGCTGGTCAAAGACCAAGCTACGCTTTGCTCATACGTTCATGCTCGTTTATACAAGCGTATACACGTTCTGAGTTGCACTCAGGGTCGCAGGGTATGATGACAAGATTAATCATCATCATACTGAACTGTCCCATAACAGGGCAAACCCTGACAACGATCTTCTTGTATCCGTTCTCGGAATTTTGCAATGAGTTCCTCATTACGAACAGATATTGGGCCTCCTGGTCTAGTTGCATTTGTAATCATTTCCACATCACTTTTGAATTGTGAATACCAGATGAAAATCTGTGCACGAGATAATTATCCCCATAAACTTGTCGCATCAATTCAACTGTCGCGATGGCACATTTTCTTAGTTTTAAACATAATTTAATCTTAGCTTTTTTTTCCCCTCCATGCTGATTGCGTAACAATGCACCTCTGACTAGGTTAACAAAATGGCGGCTTGTTTGTTATCCGCTGGGTAACGATGTAAAGTTGCCATATTATAGATGAAGGGTTCCTCTTTGGATTCCATGCTTTGATTCATAGATAGCATTTTTGTCTTGGCCATTGTAAAATTAGTCTCAGTACAGACCTTGTATGTCACATAGGGTTTGTAAGTCTATTCCTCTGTTCTGTCCTGTACAGTCTGTTCACTGTCCTGGATGGAATCCAGTCTTGCACCTTTGGCCTCTCTCATCAGCGTACGTTTTAGGGGTTTGCTTGGGCTTCCTCTATCCCATTATTTCTTGTTTTAATGCCCATTTTGTGATTCTCTGCTCATTTCTTCTCATGACGTGTCCAGCAGAGAGCCGTCATATAACTGTTGTTAACAGTGGTTTCCCGGGCATTTCTCCTGTTTCTTCACCCCCTCATATTCATCCCATGGTATGATTTTTTTTTTTTTTTTTGGTCCTGTGATGAAATCTGAATTTTGATTGTTTTTCATGATAATTATCATCAAACACTCTAATTTTTTTCTGAGGACACACAAATATAAATTATATTGTATATCATGATTTCCTTGCATTCTGAGCCCTTGAGGTTTATTGCTGCAGATATCACACACACACACACACCCCCCCCCCCCTCTTCCCTCCATTCATCTCTCTGGTTGGCCTTCTCTTTCCAGCTGGTGACCCTTAAGTGTTGGCAGGTCTGTCTGGATATTTATCTCTCCATCGTCTTTTTGGTCTGCCTTGTGTATATAGTTTTTATCTCTCTGTCATCTGACATTCTCCCAAAATGCCTCAACCATTTTACTTTGTTAGCTCTCATAATATCAGTTGTGATTTAAACTCAATTAAATCTGTCTCTACCATCAGAATTGGATCTCTGCTTGCTGCTGAAGATGGGGACTGAGCACTTATGGAAGTATCCAGAGTGCTGTAAATTTTTAATTCAACATTCAATAAATCTGTCTCTTAATAAATAATTTTAAAAAATTTTAATTCCTAAAATTTGGTTATTTAAATTTTTTTTTACTAGGGGTTGTTTCTACTCTTTAGAGTTACATTTGGTGTCCTGTGATGAAATTACAATTTTGATTTGACCTTGATAATTCTTATTAATCACTCTAATTTTTTTTCTGAGGACACGCAGTTCAGTATGCTCAGGTAGATGAGGTAGGCTATACTTACCCATATATACACTGAAACAGTAATTAAAAGTCACTGACTGTACTCACGTCTACTGCAGAACTTTCATACACGTCACATAGACACTTGTGAATGTTTACAACAGTTTCTTTCTCTGCAGGCAGAAATTCTGTCACAATTCGCTAAAGACGGTTGGTTCCTTGACTCTTATGCAGACGCACTCTGACTTTGAAGTAAACATCCCTGATTAGATTTTTACAACACGACTCCACACACAAAGGGGCCCCAGAACCCACATGTGGAGTGTACATCTTGAAGCAGATAAAACAGTGTGGTGCCCTGTCAGAACATTTGTCACACGTTGAGAACTGAGGCTGTGTTATGCTTCCGTCTCTTTTTCTAGGCGAATAATATGATTAATTCTTATGCAGCGAGTTATTTCTGAGCTTTAAAGTTGCATTTGATGTCCTGTGATGAAATCTGAAGTTTGATTTTGCTATGATAATTCTCATCAAACACTCTAATTTTTTTCTGAGGACAGTGTTAGTGAACTAGGAAATAAAGAACCAGAACTAATTGAATTTATGAAGAAATCAAACATTCACATATTTGGATTAGCTGAAAGGTACAAAATAAAAATTATGTTCTAATATGGAGCCAAGAGGTGTCATTAACAGGTAAAGGTCAAACATGGTGTCTGTAGTTGCACTTTCTTCCGTTTTGTTGACACTGATTTTGAACTTAATCAAACCTTGTCATAGTCAACAGCCAAATGGAAGTTGTAGCTAAGGAAATCCTGTTTTGTGTATTTGTTGCCCTACCATTACATTTGTTGCAACTTGGTCCAAGAATGCCAACCATCATACATTTCTATGCAAATAATAATATGGTGAATTCTTACACAGGGTGTTCCTTGTAATCTTTAAAGTTATATTTGTTGTCCTGTGATGAATTTTTGCTTTTGATTGTTTTCGTGATAATTCTTATCAAACACTCTAATTTTTTTTTCTGAGGACATGTTTTGTGTACAGTTGAAACTGATACAGTAATATATTGACCTATCATTACATTTGTCACACCTTGATCCTTTTCTTCTTTGTTCACGGCTGTAAGAAGATAGACGCTCCGAAGGAAAGTCAGTCTTGTTTGTCACTTTGGCTTTGTGCCAGAGCCTGAGTTTTACGTGGACATCCATTTTACTGGCTTATTTATGTGTAGTTGATCGTTCCCTTCTGCTTGAGCAAATGCACTCTGATATCGAAGGAGGTCCGCAATCAGTCGAGTCCTACGGCGTGCTTGTCCGGGGGGGGGGGGGGGGTCTGTTCTTGTAGTCTCTTTAGCGGGGCCCCAGAACCCAAACGGGGAATGCCTTGGTCCAAGAATACTGGCTATTTTCGTTTCTGTCTCTTTTTATAGACATAAAAATAAGGTGAATTCTCACAGTGTTCTTTCTAATCTTTAACGTTACATTTGGTGTCCTGTGATGAAACCTGACTTTTGATTGTTTTTTTATGATAATTCTAATCAAACACTCTAATTTTTTTCTGAGGACATCCTTTGAGTACATTTGAATCAGATTTTTAAAAATATATGTTGCCCTGACGTTATATTAATCACATTTTGGTCCAGGAATACAGGCTATCTTATGTTTCTGCCTCTTTTTGTAAACAAATATTTCAATATGGTGTGCTTTTACATAACACTTGACCCCTTAGGGTCATAGAGGTGTATAGATGGAAGCACGTGCACATAAAACCCACCATCTTTCTCTGTCTTCCGCTTGATGAATAAGTGTATGATAACTTTGTCCTGTCCCTTTCTTGATGCTGTCATTTCAGATTCTTCTTTGCCCTCCTCCTCTTCGACTACCCTCCCAATGTTCCTTGAAATACAGTCTTTGCAATCGAATCATGTCCCACCACGTGCCCAAACCAACGCTAGCTTGCGACGTTTCACCACTGCCAAGAAAGGCTCCTGATGTCCCACAAATTTGTATATTTTGTCTCTGATATTTATTAGTTTTGTGTTCTAAATAACTAATTCGTAAAATGCATCTGTAGCATTTACATTCGAAAACCTGAATCCTCCTTTCCATTTCCACAGAGTCCAAATCTCACATCCGTATAAG